GGTGGCACACGCCAGATTATAAGAGGCGTAGTCAAGAGGATTGTGTCAGGTTTTTCTTTAGGTCTTTGTATAGGTTTTTAATTTTGGTATAGGTTAGGTTTAGAAACTCGTCCTAATTGATTAATATAAATACTAGAAAATATCGATAATAAGAATCATTTAAAATTTAAATAAATTGTTTAAAAAACTGCTTTTTGTATTGTATATAACTTTAATAAATCCTTTGACAATAAGAGGATGAGATTTATATAACATAATTGCTGGAGGTCCACGCTCATCACTGCTTTCTCCTGACTTGAACTTAACTAATTGTAAAAGTAGAGAAGAAGAAGAAGAAGAAAAAAGTCTTTTTATTTATCAAAATTACAAAATAATATTTTTGTATTTAAAACCGAAAATCAGACGTGCTACATGGTCTGTTGACCGTCAGAGGAGTCTGTGTTTCATAACAAAATTATATTTCAGTCTATTTATATACAAATAATTAATAGGAAAATAAGAACAATTATATATACAATGTAAAAGTTATACAAATATTTTAATTACAAAAACTGTAGCGAAATTCTCCAATTTATTAATTGTTAAATTCTCTGGTGAGCATTATTCTATAGGAGAAAGCAGACTTGCAGTAATTTACCAATGCTATCCAATTGTTTCCATTTAATAAATCAATTACTTGATCCCGAGATAAATTTCTAGACTTTAACCATTTAATTCTAAATTCAGAGAGTATCGGACAAGCAGCCAGGAAGTGATAAGAGAACTTCTGTTTCGTTTGTATTACACATGCTACAATTATTATTTGTTTGCTGGAAGTGTTTATAATTTAAGTTCAAAATATCAGCTCTAATTTTAATTACCCATCTGATCACCTTCAATGAGCTTTTGTCGTCAATATAATTTACTGAAGTTAAATGAGGATAAAAGGTGAAAGTTTTAGAATTCTGAACTTTAATTACATATCGATTATATATGTCTTTCTGAATTTGAGTTCTTAGTAAATATAAATTAACTCTCCACAGTTAGATCGATTTAAGTTGAAATTTAATCCATGCAGTTCAATCAGATTAAGTAAGTCCCTAAACCATGCGATTCCTTTTTAATTATCTGTAGTAATTTAAATAATTTTTTAATGAAGAATCTTGGTAGTCTTTCCACGGCTCCATAATCGTAAAAGTAATTTCTCTATTTTGACTGGAAAACTTATATCACAAGACATGTAAATCTTATTCTTTGAATTTTCTCAATGTAGCCAGAAGATCTTATAAACTATTGGTTATATTAGAAGAAAATGGAAAGAGGAAAAAAAATATTGGAGGAGTTGAGATTCAGGATCACTTGAAGATTCTTGTGATTGATCCGGAATCCATAGCCGTTTTGGGTCGGCAGCGCCCTTGGGTACAGGGGCACTTCCCATTTTTGGGCAGGACTTGCTCCAGGGTGAAAGTCAGGTTAACCAAATTACTCACCGTTCGGATTCAAATCCTTTTATATATATATATATATAGTATTATTTAATGTGTGTGTGATAAACATCATATTGCTGTGCCCCGGAGGTAATGGACAACATGTCAACATTCTTTCATTAAATAATTCAACTAATAAAGAAACAAATTTTAATAGTCATGGAAGCTCAAAGTCATGGAAAATTGACTACCTAAGAAAATTCAAAAATGTGACATGGTTTCCTTTACCTGCGTAGTGCAGATTTAATAACAAAGAAACAAATTATATAGCTGCTCTGCTGTCGCTTAATCTTCAATGGCTTTAGCAGCAGTGACGCTGTTGAGAGAGTAGCGCAGGGATCTCTTGGAGTACTGCTTTTCTCTTTATAGTAAGAGGGTCAAGCCTGGCTTGGGGTTCTCTGCCTGATTGTATATAGGCATGACTGTGTTTTTAATTTACTTATCTTTAGGTTATTTTATTGTACATAGTTTTTTATTTGTTATTGTAATTTTTTTAATTTTATGTTTTCAGTACATATATAAATATAGTGTGAATGTGTATTTTTTTTTTCATATCGATATTCATATTCATATCGAAGGACATCTGTCATTTTTAGAAAACGGAGAAAAAGCAAATTTTTGTTTGATAGGTTCAACTCAAACTGTTTTAAAGAATGCTCAATTTGAATGATAAAAAAAAAAATATATAGAATTGGTTTAAATTGAAGCAGTGTTTACAGAAATTGAATTTATCTCTACTTTTTAAAAATGGCAGATGTCAGTCTTTGATATTAAGCTGCTCATATGTTTCTACAGAAAAACATTTATTTTTTACTTGTCATTACCACTTTCATACATAATATGAACTCGATTATTTCTTTACCTATTCAAACTATATATATATAGATATATATATAAAAAGATATAAAATTTTCTATCGAATAACGGTCCCGATCTTATTCAATATTTTTGTTGGAGTAAACCAAACGTTCGAGCAAAACACATGATAAAAATAAAGGAACGCACCGTTATAACCTAAAATTTAACTTGAAATAAACTTTGTGATGGTATAACAACTGAAAAAAAAAAGATATGCTTTATAAATGTTTAAATCAATATCTTTAAAAAAAATAAATTGGTCCAACACCTTCATGAAAATCACTACACCTAGATGTACATCTAAGTGACTGCACTGAAGGCTAGTAGAGATCATAGTTATGTTGCATATAAAAATTCGCTCCTTATTCATCCTCAGGGAGTTGAAAGAGTTAGTAACCCAACAGAGATTTTAGAAAACGTTTTTATTTATATGTAACGTTAATTTCATATCTACCTTATTTATTTTTTCATGAATCACTTTGAGACTGAAAAAGTTCCACCGTTCAATGATTCTATTCTATTAATCGGAAACATTATAATGTTTTTAATCTCGGATTTTCACTCAACATTTTAAAATGAATTGCTTAAAAAGTATTATGCATATATGAATAGTCGTTTTTATGTAAAAAGAACGATATAAAAAAGATATCGATATTTTTTAATTTCGTTTAACAGCGAATCTGTAGCACACACTTTTAAACTTTCTTGTCTTAGATAGCACCCAAAGATACATCGTATATTTAAAAACTCTCTTCACATTATACTATCCTAAAAAGTAGTACTTTTATGGAAGCGAATCATTAATGAATTGTTTGATTCGCCCTTTTATAAGAACATCAATGATAATGTTATAATCATCGAAATGTTATTAAAGTATAAAAATAATATTGTAAATGGCGAACTATATATCTCACCTCGATATAAACAGTACTCTAATGTTAATAATTATGAATACACCCTTATACGATAACATGATTTTATTCTGAGTTAGGTGAAAGGTTACGAATATCCTTTTAATTTTTTCAAGGTTTAGCGGACAACTGGAACGATTGTGTGTAGTCAGTGAAATGTGTTCTTCTACTGCAATTGTGAATGGTCTTTATAAGTCGTACAACATAAAACATTTATCCGGACGAGAAACTTAACATGGATTGCTTTCGGGATTGCTTTCTTCGGCATTGCTTTCGCTTTTAACCGATTGCTTATTACATCTTTTCGTGTTTTCGAAATATTTTTCTTCCTCTTCTTCATGGAATCCAGGAATGTCGCGGCATTTCCTTTTGTCGTAGGCCTTGAGCCTGCAGCAGCATTTACCGCAGCCTTTACCCTTACGATTACATTTACCATTACCTTTGCCTTTTTTTTTTACATTACATTTCTGTTTTACCTTCTTTCTTGGAGATTTGGATGGGCAGCATACTGGAGAACAGCCCTTCCTATCCGTCTGGCACTGCTCCAAGACGTTATCCAGCTTGGTTATCCCTTTGATCACCCTATAGCGGTCCCCATCCCTGCTCACAGCACCCAGTTCCGTCCCCATGGCGAGGATGGTGTTGATCCTAGTCCTCACGTCCGTCAGCATCTGATCGTGGATCGCCTTGCCGAGGTCTTCTGCGGTCTGCTCCTGTGATTGCTTGAATACTTCAAATGCCAGATTGCCGACATACTTGTTGATCTTTCTAGAGGGCTGGTGGTTGTATCCAATCATCGTTGTTCAGATTGATGCAAATCTCATTTCAATTTGGTCGTAGGGTCTAAATTATGAAACTATCAAGTGTTTAATTTTATGGTCAATTTAACTATAACATATGTTAATATTCCGATGGCAGGGTTGAGTTTTTTTTTCTTTTTTTTAAAGTGAGTAATGAAAAAAAAAGTAGTTATGAATATTTTTTTTTTCTTTTATAAATAATTTATGAACGAAAACAAGTTACATTATTTTTTGTTATATTGGATAATTCTTTATTGGTTTAATAGCTTTTCTTATTTGATTTTTTATTGATACTAGCCTGTATGTATATAAACCTGAAATGGATTTTTTATTCCATCTGGTGACTACCAATTTAAATAATGAACCATTTATAAACAAATTATTCAAATTTCATTTTCGCTAAACATATTTATATTCCACACCTAGATCAAAACATCATTTTATATTTATATATATATATATATATATATATATATATATATATATATATATATATATATTAAAACACTACATGCCAAAAAAGGTCCGGTACTTCGGTTCACTACTTTAGAAGGAAATAATGTTTCAATGGCAACGGTTGTGCAGAGGTGATTGAATCCAGATCACGCTCAACCGCCAGATTTTCCACCTTAATTCATTTTATAATTATTGGTATCCATTTTATAGAAGCCTCCTGAAGGGTCTCCCGACCCCATGGTGATGTTACAGAATAAATGATTACTTATCATCTCCCGGATTCGAACCAATGATCTTGAGCACAGGATGTCACTGAGCTCCCTCTGAAACATCTTTAAAAAAAAATTGGAAAAAATAACCGCCAATAGCTCTGCCAACCATCACTCAGTTATCAATAATTTACATTTTGAAACATGTTTTCTTTATGGATGAAAAGCCTTTCTTAATTTTTTTTTATTATAAAAAAATTCTCACCCATTTTGCTTTCTATAACTAACAGTACTGCACTCCGAGGTTACTGAAAGTACGGAATTTAAAATCACTTAGCAAAAGAAGAGCAATTTCGGTGATTGAAGGAGAGAAATGTTTTGAAATTAAAAAGCTTTTATTTACAAATGAGCCTATTCATTAAAAAAAACAAAAAAACTTAAGAATTCAATAAAATTCCCTTAAGTGAAAATCATCAGGTTACGGAAACACGACAGTCTACTGAACTAACCAGTTTCACAATGATGCATAGCTGTCACTGACCAATACTTGTAGCGAATTTAGTTATATTCGTTATCTTTAGCACTACTTCTTCATAATTTATAGTTACAGAAGATCTAAAAAATTCTAAATAACGACTGCTTTAAAAGATTGCCAGAAAAGTCAAAACAATCCTATACCTAGGACCAACGAATCAAGCGTTAAATTCTACGGCTATTAAGAACTTATAAATGAAATAGATAGATTTTTACCTTCTTATAACATAAGACTTTCATTAAGAGAATTTCATTCTATAACATAATTGCTCCTATTTTCTGACCACTCACGCACTACATTAGAGCAGAATCAGTAACATGCCTGAACTATCTGATATGTCAATCATCAATCAGAAGGCATTCCTAGGTTTTACCACCAGCATGAAATTAAAAAAATCGTTTGGATACAAGGGTATATCAAATTTACAAACCTGGAATGAAATTGATCACGTTTTGTCACGAGATTGAGTCTTAAAGCACCATATTAAAAGGGGAATCATATCATGAGGCCAAATGCGAAATTAGTTTTGCCCAAATGCGAGACCGAGACGACTCTTGGTCTTGCAAACTCAGTCTTAGTCGTGGTCTTGGTCTTGCGCAAGAGTCTCGCAACAGTCCTGCTGTTACTTATTAGCTTATAACTGTAATTTGTTAGATAGGAGAAACCTAACTAAGTCCGAATGAAAACTTAGAGGAGTTAAATGCAAAAATTATTGGTAATACCAATTATTGTCAAGTATTAGTAACTATTTCACCTTCATTTTTATGTAAAAAGTATTTGGGCAATACTAGTCAGAATACGTCTTATTAGAAACCTGATAATAGCCAAACTGCGACAACAATTGCTATTAACAAGCAAATAAAAAGTTTGATTCCTAATAACTCAAAAATTATATCCTTTTTTCTCGATATTGTAGGTTATTCAAAAGTTTACAAAATTACCTATAAAAAAAAAATTGTTTAATATCGGACAATTGCAAGAGAAATGGTCTCTAGACTTTTTTTGTATGTTCTACTGCAAAGGTAATATCTTCTTTTGTTTTAGTTTTTGATTTTTGAAAGTGTTACTGAAGTAACGGTATTTTCTTTTTTAGCAAATTACTAATAATGAAAAAAAAAATTTGTTTAGGCCAATAATAGGAATCACCTTTTATTTATTTTTCTTTGTTATTGGGAAAGTAATGTTACTTTAGATAATTGTTTGAAAATAATAAGCTGAAGTTATTTATTTTTGTTAATTTGATTGGTAATTACCTCAGTACACTAATGAAAGAAAGCTATATCTTGTAATTAATGTAGCTAGTCCTTTTTCAAGTTATGAAATTAGCCTAATGATTAACAATCTAGAATGTTCCTTCGAAATTATTATTATAATTTAGCAATCCTTATTCCTTGTTTAGCATCAATAGTATATTTTAAGGTTTTATTCCAAATCTGTTTCTGACTCACATTTCTTGTAACAAATGTTCATGTAATGAACATGAAGCATTTGTTTTTATACGACATCTATCGAGCAATTGAGGAACTACAACCCATATGTTAATTAATTTTAAATTGATAATCATATGGTTTAAGAACTATTCTACATTATTCATGTATTTTTCAAATTATCTTGCAATTTATAAGGAAAATAAGTTTATTTCGATCTAACTAATTCTCTACTGTCCTGTGATGCATTCATCGTAAGAAAATCAATCAATATTCGTTTGACCTATCTTTATTTAAGTAAGTGCCTTTTTTCGTAACTAGTAGACAGGAGTAGGTTTTATGGTTTCATATTTTTTTTTTACAGAAAATTGGACATGGTTAAATTAAGGTAAAAATATTATTAAATGATGTGTTTCAGCAGTTCCCAAACTTTATATAACGCGTAAAACAACCCAGGGTTTCAAAAAAGTTTTATAATTTGGAATAACCAAGTACGGGTATTTTTATCATAATATCTTACACGTTACTAACGTGGAGAGTTTCTCCTTTAAGAAGCTCGTCGCCGAAATCTCATGTATGGTATTATTGTATTTACTAGTATGTAATTGTATGAAATAACTATAATTATTGTTAACATTTAGTGACGGAAAATTCCAATTTCGTTATTGTTGTATATTTGAAATGTAATTTGGAAAATTAGTTTTTTTTTATTCTTTATTTACATTCAATTTCAATATACCTAGTGTCCTATCATAAATATTGTTACAAAGAAATATATACAGATTTCAACAGAAAAATTAATTTTTTCAAAAACTTTATTAAAAAATATATTCTCTATTTATAAATGAAATGAAAATAGATTTTTATTATCCTGGGACTTTTATCTTGGGAAATTATAGATACAGAGGAAATACCTATGTGGCCATAAAATTAAATTAAATATTTACAATGTTCAGTAAAATAGAAATATTGGGAGAAAAATAAAACAAGATCACTAAATACATACAGATATAAAAAATACAAACATGTGAAAATCGGGTTTGGAAAGAAGTAGGTGCTTAAAAAGGAGAGATTTAAATGAGGAAACTGATTGCGCATGTCGGATATCGGGAGGGATGGTATTCCTAGTGGAGGTGTCTTGAATTATAAAGGATTTGTCAAACGCAGCAGTTCGGTGAGGAGGTGGATAGAGGTCAGAAGTACGAGATCTAGTGGGACGGGATTGAATGGAATATTTAAATTGTAGGCTGTGAAAAATATAGGAAGGTCGCTAAGTTCTGATGGCTTAGTATAGAAAGATAGCAAGGAAGTATATATAGAGGAAGTATTTATAGAGAGTTAAACAAAAAAGAAATTACTCAAAATATTTTGCCTTGACACAGAAATTTAATCTTTGTACCCAGTTATCAATAGCAGCACGCAGTACTTCTTGAAGAAACAGCTCAACTACTCGGACCAGAGGTTGTTTGAGGCTTTCTATGTTAAGGTGTGCTCTGTGACATGCCATCCTCTCCAGTTCGGACGAAAGCCGATAATTTATTGGGTTGAGATCAGGGCTTCCTGAGTGCCAATCCGAAGCAGAGATGAACTCTGGAATATTCTTTTGCAACCACTGCTAAGTTAACCTGGCCTTGTGAGATGGAGCGGAATCCTGCTGGAAAACCCAATGACTTACAGCAAAGGGAGTATCATTTAGAGGCTTGACAACAGGGTCCAAAATACCGTCCTGATAGTTTTTACCAGCTGTTTTAACTCCTTTTTTCACAAAAATGGAGCTTTGTGGTGCTATCAGAGCAAACTCCCCCAAAAACCATCACTAAGGATAGGTGTTTTTTTTTTTTAGAGCTGTGTGCGCGCACGATCATTTTGGCGATTAAATTTTTCTTCAATTATAAAAATATCCTCATCGCTAAACAAAATCTTTCGATGAAGACCCATTGGTGTAACGACCAAGGAACACTTTGCGTCTATCCAATCTATTTTTTTTTTTAAGTAAGTGGTTAGCCTTTGTCTTGTTATTCTTCAAAACGTACCCATCTTAAAGTCACTTTTTATTATGCGAGAATTCGATCTGACAGAGATTCCCATTTCCCGAGATATGATTAGTGTTTTCGAATGGGATTTCTTCTGATTCGAGCAGCCACTGCTCTCACTGCATTTGCCGTTCTCACAGTGCGGGGAAGGCCCGGTCGAGGTCTGTCCATACAGATAGGGTCTCATTATATTTATTTATAGTGTTGAAAATCTCTGACCTACATTTTCCAACTTTGTGTAAGGCGATCACAGCTATTCGGTTTTCATTATCACCCCACTCCATGTTAACTGAGCGAAAGAAAAGTACAAACTAATTGGGATTATTATTCTGACATGTAAAGAAAATGACCTGATAGAGGTAAGGATTATCTAAATAATGCCCAAGGATGTAAACAAAGTTTAACTTTTGTGACAGTATTTATGGTAGGTAGATAGACAATGAAATGGCTTCTTAGGTCATATTCAATATCAATATCATTTTTTCATCCGTTTATTTTGAAAATATCTAGCCAAAAATGATTTCTTTTACTCATGTAGATAGGCTATTATTAAGTTTCCTGATGACTCCACTGATCCATCTTCCTATTCAAACTAAAGCTATTTAATTGAATAAATATTTAAATACCGTCTAAAACATACGTATTCATTTTTGTCATGTTAATTTCTGTAATAAAAAAAAAACAACAGAATTTTCGGATAGAATAATAATAGTAAGTATTACAGTATAAAGAAATTTTTAATTTTGAATTGGTTAACTGTAGTGAAGAATTGAAGTGGAGATTGGTTGGAGTGATCAGTTAAAAAAAAAAATTGTAAAAATTAATAAATATATTTATTTTTACATTGGCCGACGTTTAGTCCCAAGTTCGGACCTTCGTCAGGGCTAAGAATTTTTTCTTCTTAGCCCTGATGAAGGCCTGAACTTAACGCCGAAACGTCGAAAAATATAAAAATAAAGATATTTATTTTTTCATTTTTTTTTTACTGATATCAATCTCTTCAATAAAGAAATTTTGTACATATTGCTAACATTTTATCATCAGTTAGTTGAGGTTTAGTTATGGAGTAATACGAAAATAATTTAATAAAGTTATAATAGCCTTGATTTTTTTTTTTTTTCAGATTAGTTAACCTAACTTGGAAAGTATCAGAAATAGTTTGAGGGTGTAGACGATGTAAATGAAAAATCTTTTGCGGCTAGCGCATCACACAACCTTCAATTACTATCCTATTCGAAACGTTCTGGTTCGGAACGGTGTGGGTTCGGTTCCCACCTGGATCAGTTAATATTTATTTTCAGTCCTAAAAAATGCATCTTGACATTACCACTGTGGGGAAACGATGCCAACTTCTGGCTGCCCGTCAAATCCCACCAAACTACCCACTCGCTTTACCAGCTCTCCTCGCTAGTACCAGTACCACCTTACCTGGCCTGATTAATTAAATTAACTAACTAATTAAATCCATCCATAATTAATACTACTTCATTTGTTAAATTTTTGCTCAAATACGATTGTTTAAAATTTAATTATTTAAATTTATTAAAGATTGTTAACATATGTTTTAAACAAAGTCTGAAATATTTTCAGCGGTAGAACTTCTTCACGCTTTCTCTAATAAAATTACGATGAGAAATGGTTTTTAAACAATCCTAGAACGATAATTCGTTGCAGTATATATTTTTGGTTTGTCAGGATTAAATAAAAGGATAATTGTAAAGTTTCTATTTAGCTTGGGAATTTAGTTTAGTTCCCATAAAAACATTTAGTTTTTATTAATTTTCTGAATTTTTTATTTTTTAACGTTTTACGTCTTTACACATTCGATTTTTTCCATAAAATTCTCAGCTCTCCAACGTTAAAGTATACATTTATATTATTACTTTCATTTTCGAATATTTGTTTTCAACCTTATCGTATTGCTGGTTTATTACAAGAAATCATTAAGTTACATTTCTTACCTTAAATTACTAAGAACTTTGATGAATGGATTTGTGAAATGTGAAAACGGTATCCTTGTTGTTGAAACTGTATTTGATACATTAAAGGGTTATAATTTTTGTTTTTTGTAAAGTAGGTTGAAATTCACAAAACATTCTTTAAAGTTAAGCTCCACCAAACATTTATTTTGGTTATATCGACTTTTTTTCAATAAATCGATGGAATAATAAGAGACTGTTAATTGTTTCAGATAAATTATATCAAAGGTTCTTTATGGAAGCCATTTATAAATTTTATATTTGTCAGTGAAGACAGGACGTATATGATCTTAATGTTTACTTTGACATAACGAGTTTAATAAATATCGTTAGATCTATTTTAGAAAAATTTTAATATGTTAAAAATCAATCATGTAGAGTACCACATGGGTAGGTCGTTAGACACATACCTACTTTTATGTAATATCAGTTCCATACAACAGTTAATTTTCAAGACTGTTCACATACACACAGACCGTTTTGCGAAATTTGGTTATTTTGATTGAAGATAATCTGCGAAGTTGAATAAAAAAGAGGTCGAATTGTGTTGGTCTATTTCCAAACAAGATATATGCACTTCACACAACGAAGCGAACATATGATTTTTTGTCGTCACTGTTGTAAGAATGTAGTCCGTGGTACAGACTCTTACAATTGATATGACCTCTTTTTATCAAATTATTAACATCCATCTGAAACTTTGTAAATAGCTTCATCTCTTCGTAACCTACAACTATTTTTTTTACGAAAACTCTTGGAATTGGGGCGTTTTCAATCTGGGGGTCGGCAAATTTTATCTATTTAATTAGGGACTAAAATCTCGTAAACACCCATTTGCTTTCCACTTAAATATTATGATAACTTGAGCACAAAGTCGAGAAAAAAGGCAGCATTCAAGAATACTGACGTGACCTACACTTCCATATTGTCTAAATAACGAGGTTATATGGGCCAAGCGGCCCAATATTTTTATAGACCACCTTTGTGATAAAATTATCTTACGATCCAAATGTAAACAAATGGTTATTTACGAGTTTTCAGTACCTAATTAAATGGACAAAGTTTGCCGACCTTCAGATAGAAACTCCCCATTCCGAGAATGTACGTGAATAAAATATTTCTAGGTTATGATGAGATGAAGCTATTTACGAAGTTTCAGGCGGATGTTAATAATTTGAGAAAAAGGGGTCTGTACCACGGACGAATACCTTGTAACTCTGTTTACAAAAACATGGTGGCTATGTGTTATAGATAAATATCTTAAACGACTGGGAAAAAATAATAAAAATGAAATGAGATAAATGAGAGATAAAGCGAATAACAATTTATATAGCCAAAAACATCCAATTTCTACTTCTCTAATTACCTACTTCGTTTCTTCTCGCAATACTTTTTTTCCACATCGATGACGACGCAATGGTTCTCGATAAAGCTTCTTCCTGACGCAGTTGCTCAGCTTCCAAGATGTGTGACATCGTGGGCATTTGGCACGGATGCACCTATGCCTTATGATATGTCGCTTTACTCTGTGTCTGCTGTGTCCCCTATACTTGCGCTCGTCGCCGCCACGCCTGCCCTTAACCAGTTTCGTTTTATTGGATACGTCTCCCAATTCTATACCCATCGATAGGATCTTTTTAATCCTGGACTTGATGTCCTTCACCATCCTGTTGTAAATTAAATCGGCGATTTCTGTAGCATTGTGTTCATCCTTAATCGCGCCTCCATCCCTGGTCAATTTATTCATTTTATCGTTTATCTGAGATTTCTTCATCATTATTTTGATACAACATGAAAACAAAAATTAAAAGGGAATAGAAATTTAGAAAATTTCTAAAATTTTAAAACCGTCAATTTGATAACATATGTTGATATTGAGAAAAAGAATCGGATGATGTTTATGTCAAACAAAATTTGTTTAAATTATGTTTATTTTTTCAAACTTTCGTATTTATATTATATAAGATTCTATTTTTTTTTATATATATCAGCTGATTAAAATTTATAAATATATTGGATAATAATAAAAGCGAAAATTTTTGCGCAGTTTTGAGCATGGGTTTTAGCGCATCTTGTACGTTAGTCTAATGTGAGGTAATATATGAGAAAACTGAAATTAAAGATGTATTAAGTGTCATACTATCATGAGAACAGAACTAATAAAAATTTTGTCGGCTTTGGCGGAGAGGTATATTAACATATAAAATTAATTTCATCCAAATCCATCCTTTCGCTTGCGCACGCTTAAATGTATTTTCTTGGATATGCCAGTATTACAGAAACGGCTCGTTCAATTTGGGTCAAAGTTGGAAAAAAGGTGTCAGAAAGAAGGTGGACATTAATAAAAAAAAATTATGTAGTATCAATTTTATTCAATTCTTTCCTCTATTTTCTCTTGCATATGCTAACACGTGTTTTCCTTGATATGTCTATAACTCTAAAACCGCACGTTCGATTTGGCTGAAATTTCGAGTGAAAGTAGGGATTGGTAAACAGATAATCAAGAATGTATCAAATTGATAAAATTGATCCACAATACTTCTGCTTTCAGATGAGAAACTGTATTTGACACTCCTATAGTTTGAAAACGATTCGTTCGATTTGACCCAAACTTGGAGGAAATTCGGAGAATGGTATAGAAATTACCTTATATTAATTTCGTTGAATTCAATTTAATAATTGAAATTAATATAAATAATTAACAATATAAAGATTGTGAATTGTGGAAGGCATTTGTCATATGGAGTGGGTGTTAGGTTAATACAATATTTTTATGAGGTTATAAAACTTTTAGGTTTTATTCAAAAAGTTAATTGTTGGTCGATTTCAAACTTTACTGGAATAACACTTATTATCTTTACTTAGATTTTGTTTAATTTTCCATAAATTTAAATTAATTGTTACTCTGAGTTTTAAAAACAATAATTTCTTATTTGTGATTGTGTTTATTTATATTGAAGTTCAACCAGCTCGTCGTGGTCTCGTTTACCTCCTTAAAGTTCTGGCTGAAGAAAATTATGGGTCTCGTTAACTTCGAAAAAAACAAAAAGTTTAATTTTTTTATGGATTATTTGTTTCATCTATTTTACGAGTGAAAACATGTCTATGCATATATCAAACTACGGTTAGTGCGGTCGTATGTAAAAGTTTTAAATGCTTGTTATATTTTTGACATTATGTAGTCCGCAATTGATATAGTTAGTCTACTACTATGGAAAACTAGTTGGCCCGTGCGAATAATTCTCAGAAAATTTTCTTTAGTGAAGAATTAGCAAAAAAATTATGGAAATAACTAGAACCTATGTATTATGTAAGGAAGGAATTAATAATTTTTCTTTGGTCGATTACAATATTCCATTAAACATAACAGACCAAAATATTTGTACAAAATCCTTTGCTATTTTTAATGACACATTTTTAAAAGCTGACTGGAAAGATAATAAAGACAAAATTAAGCCTCGATCATGAGATTTTCTAAATTATTAAAAAAAAAAAAATGTAAGAACAGACAAATGCTTTTAAGAAACAATGAAGTTAATAAATCAGCCAGAAAAAAAAGTGTAGTAGGAACAGTAAATGCAATATCTTTAAAGAGAAAGAAATTGTTAAGTATACCAAAACTAATGGACTGTAACTTTGTTAATCATTGTCCGATTATTAATACACTCTGTGTCAATACAAATTGTTTAAATTAAACATATTTCTGATCGATTTTTACGATTCATCACACCCAGCCTCTACAAAGTGTGTACCCCTAATTAAATAATTAATTAAGAGAGCAAACCTGACGGTTAAGCGTGATTCTGGCCCGATCCTCTCTTTGGAGTTGAAACATTGAAACAACGTTACTTTCATTAAATAGTATTGAACCCAATATTCTTCATGGGTTATAGTGGAACAAGTTATGTTTCATTATTTGGCTAATATCAAACTAATTCTATGAAGTGGATTGGAAAAAAGAACGTTCTAAATAACTTTTCTTCCCCTTTTAAAATACCTTTTAAATATCTGTTTGAGTTTGAACCAAGGAGTTTCATTTCACTATATTTTATATACGTAGAAGTATAATAATAACAAAAATAATAATAATAATAATACGATAATTACATATTGTATCAGTTAAGTATAAGTTGTAGTGAGGTTGAAGGGGAATTTTGGGAATAATGAAGGGCCCTCCATCTTCCCTAAATTTCCCTTATAGTGTAAGAGAAGTTTAAGGGATGGATCCTGACCTCAGCCTTTTAGGGACAGTAAGGGAATAGTGCATACCATCAATGATTTTACAAAAACATGGAGCTAAGAGATTTTCTTAGGAACGTAGTTATAGATAAGTGTCTTAAAAATAATAAAAAATAAGAGAGTAGGGGAATAACAATTTATGCAGCCAAAAACATTTAGTTTCTATTTCTCTAATTACCTACGTCGTTTCTTCTGGCAATTATATTTTCCACATCGACAACGAAACACTGGTTGACGATGTATCTTCTTCCTGACGTACTTATTCATCTTCCAAGACATGTGGCATTTCGGGCACATGGCGCGAATGCTCCTTTGAATAAAAATATTTCGCTTTACTCTATGTCCTTTGTTTTTCCTTCGGTTGTGTAAGCCCTTAATCTGTTTACTCTTGCCCTTAGTCTTTTTTGCTTGCTCGATTTTCTTTGTTGCCTTTCCCAATTCCAATCCCATCGATAGGATCGTATTGATTCTGCACTTGATTTCCTTTACTATCCTTGTGTGAATGAAATCGGTGATTTCTTTAGCAGTGTGTTCATCTTTCATCGCCCCGTTCCTCTGTTCATTTACTTTATTTATTTGGCATTTTTCAGCCATCCTAATTTTGATGGAATATAAAAAATTTAAAAGTTGACAGAAATTTTGAATGTACTAAAATTTAAAAATCGTCTATGTGATAACATATGTTGATATTGATGCAAAGAGTCGGATGATGTTTATTTCAATAACAAATACCCATACTTTGGTTTGATGTATTTATTAGTTAAAAAAAAAATTAATTATTACATAAAATATTGTTTAGATTATGTTTAATTTTTTTAAACTTTTATATTCCTATTTTATACAATTTCATATTTTGTTTTCTTAAATCAGCTGAAAAAAAGTTTTAAATATATCGGATAAAAATAAACTCTGAGAATATTCAGTTATAAACCTATCTTGTATGGTAGTCTTAAATGATTTAATAGATTAGAAAGCTGACAGTAAAAATTTATTAGGTGTCATACTCTCATGAGTGCAGAAGGAATAAAAAGGTTTTAGGTTTGGACGGAAGTATATCAACTTATAAAATCAATTTTAAGTATCAGAACTAAATTATACAATTAATAGCAAAAATGGCTTCAAAAATTTCAGTGTCTTATTGTTATTAAAGATTTTCCTGAAATTGAATACGGTATTGGATTAATGAACAAATTTTAACTATTTTTTATAATGAGTAAAATTATTACTATTGTTTATTCGGCCTAATCTCATTGTGGACTTCAGTTAGGAAACAGAGGACGACATATTTGACTATTTTTTTACTTGCCCTAGCAACTTAAGGTTAAAATTTATTTAATGGGTTCGTCTGCAAATGAACCAACTCTTTTCTCAACCAAAACTAATGTGCTTCTGATTGATTTAACTTCAATTCTCTGTCAATACGGTCTGATATACGTTCATTACCTTTTATTTTATAAGTGGGATCACCGATTGGAATATTGCGGTAACTATGGTTACCAAAATCACTAGGTTGGTTACTATGACAGATGACAGCCTAGCAACAGATTTGTATCCACTGGTATCGAAGCACTCTTCCGTGAACGAGACCCTCAAATTTAATAAAAATTCCCAGTTGACACCAGTCTTAATTGAAAATTGCTGTACGGATTAATTGATTTACAAATTACGAATACAGCCCTTTATGTAAAAAGAACATTAAAATAAATTAAATGGTAAAGATTAAAAAATAAAAATAATTTAAAGTTTTCATATGGGTCATGGAATTGCTCAGCTGTTTCTGAAGATCGGATAATATTTTATTAAAAAATATTAATTACTTAATACTGGGAAGCCTCAAAAAGGGTAACATGTTCAACTTGACCGTTTGTGAGTATGTAACAATTATTCGAGCTAACTGTTGGTTCGAATTACTCAGTAGTCGCGTTAATGATTAAATACAACGTGAGCTCAAGATACTAAACAAATATTTTGATTTTTGTTGGTTTCGTATCTTAGCATGTGTACGTTTATGGTCATATGTGATGAATACAAATTATAAATACTTAACCTAAAAACATTATAATAAATAATTATATATTTTTATTTAATCCGACTATGGAATAATTTTATATTATAATCATATGTTCAAGGGAATGAAATACACCAGTGGTTACTCTTATGAAACTTTAAAAAAAAAAATTAGGAAAAAAGTTCTTAAAATAGAAGTTCTGAGGAACTTTTTTGTATTGAAGTTCCAGATTTACGGTAAACGTAGAACTTTATTTATTGAGATAAAAAAAATAATAATAATAAAAAAAAATAAATTGTGTAATAAAAATTTAAAATAAAAATTGTGTAAAACCTATCACCTTGTGTAAAACCTAATACATTTTCCTGAAGGTACCCAGCCAGACTTGGGTACTGTCAATACTATCAACACTAGTTCAAACTTATTAAAATATGCTCTTTTAAGTAAAGAAGTTCTACTCATCGCGATACGAGGGCTGTAATTTCATGTTAGAACTCGACTTCCGACCTTGCTTGTCCGTTTGATATAAAAAAAAATTAAACTTTCATTCCAAATTTCAGTCAGAGAATTATGATCATAATTTATTGAGGTGTGTTAGTTTAATCATAGGCTATTAGCCTCATTTTTGACAAGGAGATCAGATATTATCCTTTCGTTAATTACTTCCTCTTAACAGGAATGAAGTTTAATGCAAAATATTTTACAGGTTCCTTTAAAATCATTGCTATTTATGTACAGAAACAAATTACTCCATGTAGAGGTATTTGTCTGTAGGACTTTCAGATATTAATCTACTCTTTTTGCTTGCCACCGTGTAGGAGCGTTCGAAATCGGGGCCAAAATATCTACAAAGTACAAAAATAGTCTTGTATTTATAGATATTTTTAATATACTTTAAAAAATCTAATAATGATAATTATAGAGACCTGACATCTTGACATCTATATATCTTGGAAGAGGATGAAAATCTTGGTTTCATTAATGTTTTCCGAGTTTACGTTAATTCTAGAATTTTGTCTTTTTTAAAAATTTTTTTATATATATTAGATAATTAGGACCTCAACTGATCTGATAAACGTTTGGTATTCAGGCAGGGTTTTATTGTGAGACCAATCAAATACTGATTTTATAGATAACTAGATGTATAGATTATTAAAACTGGTTTCCAAAATTCTGTGGCCACGTAGAGTAATATGGTGAGTAGAAATATAGTCTTCATGTGTTGTGTGTATTGAAAACATCTCTGAAGCCTTAAGAAGTGTGCAGTGTCTTAAGAGATCTTTGCAATATGTATAACTCATGAAGACAATTTCTAAATTTCTCACATCATTAGCTTTCCTATTGGTACACCGAGTTGAAGTGGCTCTATCCTAAATCCCGACGACAATTACCTCTCGGTATTTTTCTTTTCCAGGCCCTAAGAACCAAAATTCCTCCTTACATCATAGACATATCCATATACTGTACAACACATGAAGAAATACTATTCATGTATATAATCTTTGTAATTGATTAATGAATTGGCAAAACCTTGACGGATTAATTGTTAAGCTGTAGTTTAGAGAATCATGATTTTTATTTGGAATCTTGAAATGGAAATTTTAAATATTAGTTGATAGAAAAGTATATTTTAACTTGTTATAAGTGTTAATTAAAAACAATTAAGTATTTATTAAATGAAAACAATAATTTGTCTATTTCACGTATATAAAAATGAGTTTTTTTACTAAGTAGCATTAAAAATGATTATTTCTTCATGATTCATTAGTATAATTTCATTTTATTTCTCTGTACTATTTTCCATAGTTGCAGACTAAAAAATGTCACGTTTAGGAGAAATAGAATTAACATAGAAAATTGTTACATAAGACCTTTTGTACCAACCGTTGCGAACTATATTTTTAATCAGATTTTAAACTTTTTTAATGTAAACTTGTGAAAACCCACCAAGAGACAGAAAATAGATGTAGTACTTTTATCTCCAAAATGCAGCCAAAAAACTAAATAATCCGCAAAAGGTTTGCTCATTCAGGTATCATTAGGACAAAATAAAAATATGATCACTGATTCTAAAAGCATAAAATATGCGGCAAGATGTTATGGAGGATATGACCTTTTTTTTTGTTCGTCTGTTCCTATCGTGATGATGTCTGAATTGGCAAAGCCTTAACAGGTTATTTTGTTCTTTACCTGTATTTTAGAGAAAAAAAATTGTGTAGTTAGATTTTTCCAATTATAATTTAAAACTTGGCTTAACAAATTATTATTTATTGTATGATACATTTTTAGATAACAGCTTAGCTAATATAGTAAGTTGATTTACTTCTTACCTTGAGAAATAATCCTTCGAGCATCTACATAACTTTAGGTAGCGCTTCTCGAGCACTATTATCCTCAGTAAGGTGAGTATTGAATGCACATCTGGTTGAAACAATCAGATAAAATTAAATCTAAGGCGAACATTGAGTGATCGCTTCATGGCACACCCGGTACAATGCATTCAAGAGATGTGATAGGGAAAGGTCTTTATTAGGTACAGAACATCAAACATTTATCCAACCAATACAGCTCATTTCTTACCGCCCATGTTGAAGTACCTCCTCTCTTCCCGTTTGTATAAACGCGGCGTCCTGGCCTTGTCCAAGGCCCTCGCCCTGCAGTGACACTTGGATCCGTTCTTGCCAATCCGGACACTGTTCCTCTTCTTGCGCTTGCAGTTGTCCAAAGATCTGTCCAACCTCACGATCCCCTTGTTCACTTTGAACCTGTTCCCCTCCTGAGCCACTCTTCCCAATTCGATTCCTATCGCCAGGATGGTATTTATCCTAGTCCTTATGTCCGACACCATCTGGCCATGGATGTATCTGCTAATGTCTTCAGAGGTATGTGACTGCTTTCCTTCCATTACTTTAGTCGTCAGCGTGCCAACGTAGTTAGCGATTTTCTTGGCTGCAATGCGGTTTAATGCCATCCTGATTTTAGCCGAATATTTATCGCTTATAAATTTGGTATTAAATTGAATGTTACGAAACTGTAACGTTATATTTTATACTAATTTTATGATCGATACTATAAAAACATATGTTTATATTAAGACACAGGGTTGCTTAAAAGTACTTTTGGATGGAGTTAAAAACTAATAAATAAAAATTTTATTTAATTATATTTTAATAAACCTGAGCGTGTTACATAGTCCACAAATCCCTTAGCACGCGTGCACTTTCAACACGGCATCTCATAGTTGATTTTGATCACACATTTTACAATCAACGGAAATAATAATCAAATATTTTTATTTAAGTAGAAATTATGAACGCAATAACTGGCATATGTACACTATCAAACTAAATAGTTTTATTTTACTTAACGATTTGATACGTCGGTATCAAATATGGTTAAGATAGGTTCTTGTTTTGGTGAAGGTATCAGTGCAGTCCTTTCATCTATTTTTTTATTGTTCAAAAAACCTTTTATAAAATTTCCATGTTAAAGTTAAAACTCGCTAAAGAAAGGGGGTTGTTCTAGAGATATAACCAAACCTCTTCTAACCAAACGGGGAAGTTCGAGATTCATTCCGTGGGTCCTCAGCGAAATATATTCTATGCGTCCAGTCTGGTGTAGAACCGGCGTCGCTTGACTCGAGAATGTTAAATCTAAAAAAAAGGTATTTCATTAATTAATTTATAAACAAAAAATTATCTAATCGTTTTATACGCAGGTATAGCGTTACACTCCCTCTCCCTCCGTTTCGTTTTTAACTTGATGATATGAAACTATATGAATAATTACAACTGCCTTGGGGGCTGACACTATATTTGTGTTCATTTCTCGACTTATAAGTATCATGGATCAGTATGCCTACTGATCTGTAATAGTCTGATTTATGACTCATACTAACAAAAGCGTTTGGAAATAGACAGTTAATATTCCGAAAAAAGGCGACTGATTTAAGTAATTCAACGTTTAGTTTTCGCGTAAGGCCTTATACTATTCATTTAGAAGTATTTAATCCGTACATGTATTATTACAGTAAGGCTCGAAATCGGTTTTGTACCAAATATAAGCTCCTGTCATGCTCAAATACCATGAATGGGGTACCGTTGGAATCAGAATTTTACGGGAGGTTAGTTCCATTTTTGTTTTTCTTTCTAAAATAAATTAAAGTCGATACAAACATTTTGCTTGGCTTCAATATCTGAACGGTGGTAGGTCTGTAGATCGATACGGGAGAGATTGGATCTTGAAGATTTTGATGCGTACAGCACGACCCGGATAGTTCCTCCTGAACTATCGGATCCTGCGTTTTTAAGCCCAAAAACGTAGTATTTTCGAGATAACGCAAGGCATAGGGTTCGCATCCACACAACCTTATATTAATTGTAGTACTGACATTGAATACATGTCTCATTTCATCGACTTAAGGTCTCCATGATCGAGAGAGGAGGAGTTTATATTATTTATCGATGGTGTTTTTGATCTGCAATCAATTCATCGTCCATTTTTCACAAAATCACAAGATTGAGCCTCTAATTTCGAAAGATTTCTTCTCCTTCAGGCGGGCAAAATAGTCCAATCACCCCGAAAATTCGGGCAAACAAGTTATGAATAAAAAAAAAATTATTTGCGAATAACTAGAAAATTGCATACTTTTCCCTTGGTTATGCCCGTGATTATATAAAAGATTAATTAAAAAAGGAAAAAGAAATCATTGAAATCGGTCAATTTTTAGCAAATATACAGGTTATTGAAATTTGTAAACATGTTGGTTCCAACCAAAAAATCAAGATTTTTAAAGATGAATTAAATTTTTGTTTTCTTTGTCGATTATATTTATCGATAAAGAAACATTTGATTTCTTTATCTTTTGATACGTTGCAATATTTTACTTTGTTATTAATCTGGCATCTGATAACAATATGCTGTGCGAATTTTTCTCACGGGTCTACTAGTCCTCTTTATTTCCATTCTGATATATTTCATTTCACTGATTTCTGGAATAGGAGAGGATTGGGCATGTGTTGAATTCTGGCGGAAGCGAACAAGATTTATTTCATCATTCCAGCAACTCTGTGGGGAATGAGGGTAGCAGCATCTCCATTTTTTTTTTCCTGAGCTCAGCATATTTCTCAATTAATAGGAAAACTAGATTCAGTAGAAAGTCCGTTTTTCGACGCTTGCGATCAATTTCACCTCCCTTGGCAACTTGTTTTGCAGAAGAAAGCCGCTTGGTAAAAGTGGAACTTGATTAGAATGGTCATTAAAATATGTTTTTTATAGCCCGAGTGGAAAGTTTATTTTTGTCCCGGCTGGTAAAAGTATTGGAGGCAACTTATTTATAGTGGAGATGGGCTAGCAGCGGACCGGTTCGTTGCGTCATCGGCTTTTGTTAATGAAGTTTGTTGCTAAGTGGTTGTCCGTTTGTATCTAAAATTTAATACGGTGAGGTACGGCACTTCATAAGGTCGCTTTAGTTATCACTTTCTCCATGTTACATTTATCAGAGTCTCTATGTATAGATAATTTTTGGTTCATTATTTTCAATTGTGATCGACCAAAAAATTCAAAAACTTAACCCCCTCTCAAAATTTGAGGTTTCACATTTCAGGACGCGTAGAGTTCGAAAAACGAATACAAATTTTTTTGTCCGTCCGCCGTCCGAGCATTTTCTCTGAAACTACTGGACCTATTTTTTTCAAATTTTGATATGCAATCATAGGTCACCCGAGGATTGTCGTATTTCATCGACATTACTCTCCGCCTTTAACTTTCAAAATGGCGGCCGAAAAACTTGCGTTGCTATAGACTGTAGCTCCTAAACGAATGTACAGATTTCAATGAAACTCTCATCATTTTCTCGACGCTCTTTAAATTTATCTATATAACATACTTCAACGAAAAGAAGCTGGAAAAAAAGTTACGACTGATGGTAAAATTAAATTCCGAATAACTCGAAAAGTTTTTACTTTTTTGTTGATATTGTATATAGTTTACGAAATTTCCTAAACAAAAAACAAAAAAAAAAAAAGTTAAAATCGGACAATTAGGAGCCAAGATATGGGTCTCCGGTTTTTTTTTAATATGTTCTACTCCAAATGTTTGTTTTTTAAATTTTGAATGTGTTACTGAACTAATGCTATTTTTTTTTTTTTTTTTTTAGCATATTACTAATGATTAAAGAAAAATAGTTTATTCCAATAATTGGAATCACCTTTTGTTTTTTTTCTTTATAACTCTGAAGGTAATGTTACTTTAGATGTATAATTGTTTGGAAATAATTTGCGGCGTTTTTGCTTTATTGATCATTCAGAACAAATTAGTGCTTTTACGTTTAAATAGCTGGATTGTGCAATGATATTAAAAGTAAGAAAAAAGATCTTTCTTTTTACAGTCTCATACATTTATGTTATGCAGCTTTCGGTGCTCTGCACCATATCCATCTTTACAATGCTGCTTCAATCCGTTGTTTGAACTTCGTTCTTTGTATAAATTTTATCAATCATTATAGATTGGTGTCTAAATTTACAACAAAAAAAAAATTGTTTGGGCTTTTCCATTATAAGAGGAGACTCCTGTTGTACTTAACTTCCCGGTTTACAGTCTTCAGAGTAAGACTGTATTTCTTACTTTCAATTAGTTTAAAATCTCTCGTAATATCAAATAGTTTCTTAGGTTACGGTATAGGTCACTTGTTTTTTTCTCTGTATTACATAAACAAAGTTTTTAGAGACTGTGTCATATTTTATTTTACATATTCAAAGCGGGACGGACTGTAACGAAGAGCTCAGAGGAACGGACCGTAACAAACACATCACACTTCTTATTCCTACGATTATTTCTCCCTTATTATGGTTACGAATTGGCAATAAGAATAATTATAATAATATAAATTGCCAATACGGCGCGTCGTATAATATAGATTTTTAAAGTGTTTCGTTTATTTTATTTTATGTCAAAATAAATTTTAATTATGTTAAAATAAAGAATTTCATGATAGAATAAAACAATCTGAACTACAGAATACATTTAAATTACAGTTAAACAATTTGAACAACAGGCAGTACAATTTAATCAATTGTTGTATATTTTATAAAATGGCGGTTGATCCGCCGTTAGGTGAACATGGAGCACCCCTAGTTTTATAAAAATTCTTCTTAACTCTTAGGTAGGCGAATTTATTTTAAATACGTTTATAAAAGTTGAGTTAGGAGTTTCGTGCTACAACAATGTTGTGAGTAACTCGATCGAGGATGTATATAAACTTTTTATTGAGGATAGGCAGCGGGGTAGCTCAGTGAGTAAGATCCTAACTTCCAATGCCCAAGGTATCTAGTTCGAATCTGGTTGTACCAGGTAATTTGTATTTGATTACATCAGTCTTGATCTCCTGAGATCAAATGACCCTTCTGGGACAAACTCAGTCTCTATATAATGGGTACTCTTAATTAAAATAGTTAATTAACGGGAGAAACTGGCAGTTGAGATCTCGGTCCAATCACGTCCTTAGTTTGAATTTACTTTTTTAGTTAAATTGTATTTTATTCTATTTTAGGATGAAATAAACAATTAAGCCTCACGAGACAGAGCCATCTCTCTAGGTTAGATACTCGATTTTATTGGGTTTGGGAGAAAAGTTTGTTTTTTAATTTTCTGTTAGTAAAAAAAAATTAGCTAACTTATTCTTTTTTTTTTTTTTTAGTTATAAAGAAATTATAATTATAGAAGCTGGTGTAAAAATGAAATTTCGGGGAGAGGGGAGGGGGGTCTATTTGTATTGTTTTCATCGCTTGGGTTAAATACAGTATAAAATACTAATATTCATGAAGTGCACATAGAATATCCACCAACATCCTTTAAAATACATAAGGAATATTCACATTTAATAGAATATAAGAAATCATGAATATTTAGGATACATTTTTTAACATAATTTATTATAATATAATTATGACTTTTCAGAACAACATATTGATTTTATCAAACCAAAAGTGAAAATCTACTCCATGGGTAACAGTTTTACCAATTTTTAAAGTTTTTTAAATTTAGTTCAAATAATCTTGATATTTATTAATTTTTGGAGGA